TTTTTCTTAATTTTTTTGCTCTCTTCTTTATTTCTTTGCTTCAAACCTATTGTAAAGCTTTATATATTTGTTTTGAATGATAAAAAAACTGCCTATATGTTGATAAGAAAGTGGAGATTGAAATCTCCAATGGTTTGTGTTTGGTGGTTGCCATTTTTTCTAAATAAAATATATTAATTAGATAATGATATAAGTACATTAAACACGTTTAATTAAAAATTTCAAAGCAAAAAAGAAAAGTGTAATCAGATAAAAATGATACAGGAATTTCATTTGGATCGTATAGCTTAAAGCCTATTAAAGATAAGAGAGACAAACCTTAGACTAGCTACCCCCACTAATTTCAGGGAGATTATGCATTTTCATAGCTTAGCCACCTTCTATAGAAAATCCCTCTAAGGTTAAGAAAACCGTAGATTAACCTTAGGTTGGTACTTTAAAAAAAAATTAAAATATAATAATAAAAAAATAAAAAACCTTATTTTTTTGCTTGAGACACCTAGGAAGGAGAAGCATTATGTTAGCCTCATGAAGTCTTTGTTTATAGATTAAACTAATATTTTTGAGGTTTATTGTATTTGCATATGGCCTTTAATCTAATCCCTTATGGTTAAGAACACCTTAGAATATCCTATCCCCACTAATGGCTTTGAGATTATGAGTTTCCTTAACCTAGCCACATTGTATAGGTGATTTATCAAGAATTTTAGTGTAATTATTGCTTCCATCACTGATATCTTGCAGCAGGAAAAGTTATGTTCGACTTTTAGTGCCCAAATTGTCTGAGCAAGTGAACGTGCTTATGACATCTGCTCTTGTGCTTTGAAGTATTATGTGATGCATTTGAAATTAGTATAAGTGGCGGCATGAGTCGAGAAAATCATCCAATAAACTTCTATTGTGAGAAATTGAATGATATTAGAAGTGAGAAATTGAATGATATTAGGCAAAAGGTACTCTACCTATGATAAACAATTTTATATGATCATCAAATCTTTGAAGTATTAGAGGTATTACCTATTGCTTAAGGGATTTGTTTTATACATTTTTTTTTTTTGTAAAAAAAGAATTACCTATAAATTTTATGTTAGGATTACTCAGGACCACAGTATGATATCGTATTATTTTTGTGGTAATGGATAGATTCTCCAATATGATTTATTTTTTGCCTTGCTTAAGGACAATTGATGCATGACATACAAAAAGACTTCCCTTTAAAAAGATTGTTAGATTGCATGACCTATCCTCCACCATAGTTTTAGATCAAAATGTGAGTTTTGCTTCCCTTTTTGAAGAGTGTTATGAAAAATGCTTGGTACACAGTTAAAACTTTCACTTGGTTTTTATCCTCACCCTGATGGCTAGACTGAGTTGTAAATTGACTTTTGGGAACTGGTTGAGGTGTTTAGCTGGAAAGCATTGGAGGAATTGAGATCTACACTACAAACTTTTGAGTTGCTTATAAAAATATTCTCTTCCACAATTAAGAAATCACTTTTTGAGATAGTTTATGGACAAAATTTATAGAAACCAGTTGAATTGGTTGCTATTCCAACTCACACATATTATGATTAGGCTTTTACATTCATAAATGATATTCTGTATCAAGATGAGGGAAAAATAGCTAAAAACAATGCAAAAAATGTCGGAGGGGTAAATCACAATTATTCTTCTAAATATTATGAGAAAGGTGATTATATGTTGGTTCACATTCATCTCAAGATATATTCATCTTTAAAATATAATAAATTGTGAGCTAGTTTTTATGGCTCGTCACGAATTATTAGGAAACTTAGACCTGATGCTTAATATCTTGGTTTGTTATTCAAAATATTAATTTGTCTAATTTTTAAATATTGAGAATATTATTTTATTTAAAAGAGTCAACCAATCTCTAAATAATGCAACCAGCTGACATGAGATGTTTCTAACCAATTGAAGGTTCATGGACCATCAAACCTCTTTGATGTGAACTCTTTCATTGCAATAGAGGTGCCTGCAAACCATGCGAAAGATCACATATTTTTTATTGGATGGAAGAAAAAGCTGGCCTATTGGGGATGCGTTGTCTCTAACAATAAATTTGGGGAAGCCAGCACCAGGATTTATTGAAGAATACCTGGAATTGAACTCTACAGAGAAAAGCTTTAATGGGTCAGATATAGAACACCAGTCAAGGATTATTACGATCTCACTACTATAGCAAGATCAATGGCTCAAGATTTAGGACAAAAGAGTAAGTTTATTTATGCAAAGAACACATTTTTGCCAAAATTAGCCCAAAGTAGGCATTTGGACCTAGTCTTAATGTGGCTTCCACCAAATGACCTTGAACTTCCTCAAAAATTCTACATCACATCTCCTAATCTTCTCCACAATTTTGAAGAAAAATCATGCCCTAGAGTCCCCTCCATTCTAAGGCCCTGAAGGTAAAATTCTTATTGGTAATTTTGTACTTATCAATAGCAAATGATGCACCATAATGCAAAGGTCACCATGGAGCCATAATTCATAGTGCAACATATGCTATTTTAAATGTGGCATAAAATATTAAAAAATTATAAATAAAATGCATATATATTAATATATTTATTTTTTATATTAAATTTTAAAAAATAACAGTGTGTGCATCATTTTGTGCTATGGATATATATGGGTAGTTTCAGGGCTGGTTTGACCTATGGCTTTGATTGACTTTTTCACTTGGCTTAAAATCTTTTCCACTCTCCAAGAGGTTTTCCACACAACCTTGGCCACCCACCAGAACTGTTAGAAGCCTTACATCCACAACATCTTGGGCTAGGTTTATATTATAGTTTCCCATTATGTTTCTATCCTCTTTATGTTTTACACTTTTTTTTGGTTTTATTGTGTTTTATGGACTCATTCATTAATGGGGGGTGAGATGAGAAACAAAACATAAACAATAAATTTTCATTGATTTTTATGTACCGAGGAATGAAAAATGTGCTTAAAAAAGAGGTTTGAGAAAGAATACTAGATTTGAATGATTTTTTGTATTCTAAGGATAGAGATAGTAGGATCTGAGATAGTAGAATCGCTATTTTATAAGTGTGAAATGACCACAATCATGAATGCAGCAATACACTCAAGATTAATCTATAAAAATGTTGGTTGATGTGCTACTTTGAAGAAGATTCATGAAGGTGAAACCTTTAGTTCAAGTGAGATGCTTGATAAAATTTGGAGAATAGATAGGAGCGTGCAATAGTTGTTTTAAACCAAGAATTTGAATTGAACATATTATATTTGGTTGATTTGTTAAAAGATGGTTCGAGTGGTTTTTAATTAAAAGTTGTTTGAATTTTGATTTCTAGTTAGATTATAGCAAAAATATTTGGTTAAATCGAAAACCAAAATTTTATTATCATCTCTCTCTCTCCCTCTCTCCCTCTCTCCCTCTCTCTCTCTCTCTCTCTCTCTTTCTCTCTCTCTCTCTCTATATATATATATATATATATACATATATAGATTTGATTTCTCACTGTGCGCTTATATTTTAGTTTGATTTTGGTTTTTGCATTATAAAAATAATAAATAATAAATTTACTTCAATTTTTAAAAATTGGTTAAATTAGAACAAAATTGAATAAACAAAACTACATTATAGTTATGTACTACTTCTGATTTTAGTCAGCTCGAATTTGTCTATGATTTAATATGGTTTAGTTAGATTTACAGACATGCCAATCAATTCAACCAAATTGATCAAATGCACACCCTTGTAGATAATTTTACAATAGTTTGTTTAATACACTTATATATCTATATATGAGGACTAATAGAATGCCAAATAATTGAAGAATCATTGTTTTTACCAATCTTGATGTTCAATTTTAAGGTAATTATATAACTTATAAGCCATACAATGTGGCTATGAAAGCTGTAATGGAACATAAAGTCAGAAAGATCGCTGTAATGGAACATAAAGTCAGAAAGGTTAATTTATTATTGAGAGTCAATTTTGTATTTTTCCATAAAGTTTTTTTTATAAAGGTGAATAATTTTCTTCAGAAAAAAAATGATCAAGTAAATAAAGCTGTCAGGAACATCATATAATTTTGCTTGTTTCAAAATCACATAATGGAGAGCCATTAGAAAAAATCTTTGGAGGAATTAAAGAAAATGCGCACGCCAAACTTATGTTGGAATTATTAAAGATAAGTTTGTTATGCAATTTTAGTTAATGCTAAGAATTGCAAGTCAATATTGTTGGAAGGTTAAATGATGACCAATTTTTTTAAGTTTACATATTTGTATCTTATACACAAATGATGAGATTAAGATGAACGTAACTTTTAGAGTTAAAGATAAAGGGTGAAAGTGGACAAGTGTGCAGGTTTACAACCTTTCAAAATAATATCATATAGATGTGAAGTAAAATTTAAAAAGTTACTATTAGATCTCGACTAAACTATGTTGATTTAGATGCCTGAAAGTAAAAATGTAAATGAAATGTTATAATTTTGAAAACCTGGATAAGTTTTAGAAGTGAAGGGGCTTAGGCAAGAATTGCATTATAAATTGAGTGCACAATATAAATTTCGTTGGATTTGAAAGTGATTTTCATCTTATGTATTTTTGGTAGACCTAATGTAACTTAGCTATAAGTTATGCAAGCATTCAACATGAATTTAACTTCTTGTAATACTCTCAACATAGATGAATGGATCAGTATCATATACCCTCTACTAATTAAGATAAGACTAATAATGTTGAGTGATGTGTGATTCTACTCAAATAAATATCTAGATAAAAATTTATGCCATTCTTTCATTAGTGAAGTGCATCCATTTTCCATTTTTGTAAGTGCAATTTTTACTCTTCTTTTTTTACGTCTTTTATATATTTGGCATTACTTATTTTATTTGTCACAATTGCCATATATTTTATATATTTTCATATTGCGTTTGATTTTTCATCTATCATACTTGTTAAGGAGAGAAATGTTCTTCTAATAATTTCTTGTCTATCTTCAGCTTTAATCCCACAGATTCGTTTATATGGTTTGAGCTATATTCTGCACCGTCTGATCGTGATTTAGATCTCCTTGGTAGTGTAAGTGGGATTTTACTGCATTTTTCTGTGCACACTGCTCAGCCAGTTTTGAGTGTCGTAGAAGTGACTCATGCTCGATGATTCTGCAGGTAATTCAATCATGGTATGTGATGGGGCGTTTGGGAGCTTTCAACTCTTTGAACTTACAGGTTACGATATAGGCTAGTGACTAATTTAGTTTTACATTTAGAATGTACTTACATGAGTATCACTCAAAATTCATATATTTACAAAATTGGTGCTTATTTCATTTTTTTTTGAATTACCAAAGTCATGTATTTATGTGTACCAAGATCAAATTATTAGAAATTCGATAAAAGCAGAAAAGACATGGGGTTTTCTTATGAATTTTGATATTTGAGTGAGAATTTAAAAAATAGATGTAAGAGGGTGCTGATTTTGTAAATTAGCAATATTTTGAGTGATGTGAATGTAATTGTTCCTATTTTTTGCCATACATTCTTGTTCCTTATAATTATATTGGCAGTGAGATTAGCAAATTCAATCATCTATTTTACTCCTACATAGCATTTGTTGATGCAACAAAAATTGGGGAAGGATTATTCAAATATCCATACACAATGCCTGGTATGTACATTTGGAGGAATATCTTACAATATCCTTATATGGTGAAATGAGTTATGTTGGTACCATGAAACGTCCCAAGTAGTCGATTATTCTAGATCAGTTTTTAGAAGCACCAATGGGAGCTTAAATGTTGGACCAAACTTCATTTCTATAGAGTAGTTGTTCTAAGAAGATTGTCTTCTGACTTTTAGTAGAATTTAAAAATAGATTTTGTATAACTTAGGATAGTTGGTAGTTGAATATGGGGACTTTCTTTGTAAAGAATACATGCGTCTGAATATTAGAAAATAAATAAATCCTATGGGGACATAAATATATATATAAGGAAGCAAAAAGAAATTTACAAATTGAGTGCTAGCTTGAACACTGCATAATTTTGATGATATAGATATTATGACAGGCATCAAGGAAGGTGAATGAAATAGCAAAGGAAAGGTAAATGATATTTTCAAACTTTATTCATGACCTTCATTTGTTAAGATCTTGTTTACGATGGCTTTGAAATTTTCATTATGCGCACTTAATATCTAGGCGCTGGGTCTCAAGCCCTCGATGTGAAAAATGGAGGATTGCATTAAGTAGTCGATAGCCCACCTAAAAATTGTCGAAAAATTATGATATGAATCCATTAAATTCTCGTGTCAATGCTATGATGTCCTCTGGAAGCGATATATTGTATGACCTGAATACAGTGAAAAATGCGCAAGGGCCGCTACACCGACGCCTAGGTGTGGTGTCAAATAAGAAAGGGTTCCCACATTACGGACGGATGCAGATAAAAAAATTAGTTAATAAAACTAATATTAGGATAAGATTTTGGAATGTGTGCACTCTCACAGGTAAATTAATGGAATTAGTTGATATTATTGTTCATAGGGAAATAAATATCTTATGCATTCAAGTAACTAAATGAGTTGGAGAAAAGGCTAAGGAGATTGATAGCTTATATTTTAAATTTTAGTATTCTGATAGAACTTGCAGTAGAAATGGTATAGATGTAATTATAGATAAGAGTTTGAAAGATAATGTTGTAAAAATTAATAGAATTAAAGGTAGAATTATAGCCCTTAACATTGTTATTGATACTAAAATTTTTAATGTTATAAACACTTATGCTCCTCAAGTAGGTTTAGATATAGGTTCTCAAGGAAAATTTTGGAATGACCTATAAAATTTAATACAAATGATACTTTTTAAAGAAAATTTTTTTTTTGTAAGAGATTTAAATGAACTTGTTGGTAGAGTGGTAGATTTTAGAAATATTCATGGTGGCTATGGTTTTTGAGTGATTAATGAAGAAGGCAAAACCACATTAGATTTTGTTTTAGCGTATGATTTTATTATTACTAATACTTTATTTAAGAAAAGAGATGAGCTTATCATTATTTATAAGAATGGATCTAATAAAATACAATGATTATTTTCTTATGAGTAGAAGAGATTGTCGAGAATGTAAAGATTGTAAGGTCATTCCAAGTGAAAATTTAAGTACTAAACATCGATTATTAGTTTTGGATTCTATGATGAAGAGTTGTAAGATAAAATATACTAGAAATCATTCTCATAGAATTAGATGGGGGCAACTAAAAGACAAATAAAATTATTTTAATGAGTAAATTTCAAGATTTTATGATTCGGGATGTTCATGAAGAAACAAATTTTTTGGAATAAAGTAACAAACACTATTAAATAAGTGACAAAAGATATACTTGAAGAGTCAAAAGGAAAAATTTTTATATATAAAAATAGCTGGTGGTGGAATAATAATGTGTATGAAAAGATAAAATTTAAGAATTTGGGATATAAAAATTGGTTTAAATGTAAAAGCTTAGAGAATTAGGATAAATATAAGTTGACTCGTAAGGAGTCTAAGAGAACAATTTTTGACGCAAAAAATTCTGCTTTTAGTGATATTTATAATAGATTATATACTAAACATGGTGGAAAATATAAATATAAACTAGCTAAACAAAGAGAAAAGAAAAGTAAGGGTTTAACTCAAGTAAAGTGTATTAAAGATGAAAATAAAAAAGTTCTTTTCTTAGAATAAGATATTCAACATAGATGAGTTAGCTATTTCGATAAACTTTTCAATGAAGTTTTTGAAAATACGATCGAACTTAGTGATCTTAATATTGTTAATAATAATAAAATTTTTTTTTTACCGTCGCATTAGTAAAAAGAAGTGTAGGAGGCTTTAAAAAGAACCAAGGGTGGAAAATCAGTAGGACCTGATGATATCCCTATTGAAGCGTAGAAAGATTAGGAGATTTGAGAGTTTATTGGCTTACTAAACTCTTTAATATTATTTTAAAAACTAAAAATATGTCTGTGGAGTGGGGGAAGAGTATTTTGGTTCCCATTTTCAAGAAATTTTCAAGAATGCCCATTTTCAAGAATGAAGGGGATGCACAAGAGTGTGCTAATTATAGAGGAATTAAGTTATGTGTCATACCTTAAAATTATGGGAGAGGGTAATTGAACATTGGTTAAAACGTGATAAAAAGATTTCTCATAATCACTTTGGATTCATGTCAGGCTGGTCTACTATGGACACTATAAATTTATTGAGAGGTTTGATGAAGAAGTACAGAGAGACTAAGAAGGATCTAGAAATGATTTTTATTGTTTTATAAAAAACTTATGATAAGGTTCAAGAGAAATCTTTTGGAGAGTTCTAGAAAAAAAAGTCATTGATATGACTTATATTGAAGTCATTAAATATATGTATATTAGAGTTGTTACTTGTGTTCGAACAGGAGGATTGATCAAGTATTTTCCTATGTCAGTTGGACTATATCAGTGATCGACTTTAAGCCCGTATCTTTTTGATTTAGTTATGGATGCGCTTACTAAACGTTTGCAGGAGAATGTACCTTGGTGTTTGCTTTTCAATGTTGATATCTTTCTTGTAGATAAGACGAGAAAGTTTTTAGGAAAAACTTGAATTATGGAGGTCTACAGTGGAGTCGAAAGGCCTTTGTTTGAGTAGAACTAAAACTGAATACATAGAATATAATTTGAGTAGTAGTAACTCTAGAGAGTTGTAATTATGAGTGATCAAATCATTAAAAGGTATAAAATTTTTAGATGTATCGGGTCTATTGTTCAGATTGATGGTGACATAGATGGGGATGTTATTAGTAGAATTCAAGTTGGTAGGTTGAAGTGGAGAAATGCTTTGGGCCTATTGTGTGATAGAAAAGTACCGCTTAAACTAAAACCAAAATTTTATAAGATGGTGCTGAGACTTGTAGTGCTCTATAGCGCAAAATGTTAGCCTTTAAAAGGTACATAAAACAAATTTATAGTTTATGCAGTTCTAATAAACGAGACCTCTTCTAATAATTTAGTGCAACAAAGGAAATTAAAAAAAAAATTAGCTTACAGTAAATATAAAATATCTAATATAGCATATGTAATTTTTGAGGCATAAAAATTAGTAGTTATTGATCAACAAATGTGAGACTCAAGTCATACCTAAATGTAATAATTTTAAGCATTTTCGTGCTATGACACTAAAATATAATGATATGTGTAAGAGCATGATTTTTTGAGTGGAACTGCATAATTAAAATGAACAAATTTCTTAAAATTACTATGCCATTAGAGCATATTGTAGAGACTTATATTCTTTTTCTTATAGAATTATTATTAAATTATATATTTCATATGGATCGAAGAGAGCGTGGAAACAAGTCACACACATCCAAGTTTAGTGCGGTAGAATTGACACTACGAAATTGTGATATAGTTAGGAAGGATAGGTGGCGATGATTATTATATTATGAAGTTTGTTGGGATAAATATTGAAGGTAAAATAATGAGAAAGATTTAGGTGTTTTTTTAGGTACATTGGAGGAGGAGGAGGAGCAGGAGAAGGGGAGGTGGTGGGTTTGGGGGTCGAAGGGATGTGAGGTGGAGACTCATGAATTTACATTAATGAAAAAATTTGAGCAAATTTAGCATTAATATAAATTTGAAAAAAATACCTGCGTAGGCTAGATTTAGCATCTTGTGCATCACTTAACAAGAAAGCATTGAAATGGAAGATTCCTATTTAATTGGAAAATACTAATGTAATTATATAATGGTGATTAACGAGATCGATGATGCTCTTAGAATAGTACTCTTCTAATGTGGTTTAACTATTAAATACTTTTTTCTTCAGTTCTACTTTCACTAATTCATACAAGGAGAAGTTTTGAGTATGGTCATATGTAGCTCTATCAATGGAATTCATGAGACTATAAATGACATTACTTGTTATCAATAAATTATTTGTGTGACATTTTTCCTTAAAAAATGATATGCAAATTTAGTTGGTGTGATATTAATGATTATGAGCCAACATTGCTTGATGATCAGGCATATGTGAGAAATGTTCCGGGATCGATTAAACACTATAATGAGATTATAGTTGATATCTTTGTGTGACTAAATAGCAGTGAGGTATGCATCTCAGTTTTTTGTAAAATTGTAATTAGATGGTTATGTCACACATTAAAAAATTGGGCAATAAATTCTTTGATAACTTGGTTAAGTATAGCAGAAAATATTTTGCTAAAATTATGTGGTGAAAAATTTGAAAGATCTATGAAAAAGCAATTCATGGGAGTGGTCCTAGATCTATAACTGTTGAAGATAAGAAACTGGAAGATAGACTTAATTGGTCTGGGTATGTACAATAGGTGTAAAAAATGTACCAAAAAGTGGCCGAGTGGATAAAATTAATCAGAAAGGATTAGAATGGATAAAAGTACATAAAGTAGCATGGATTTAACTTATGTATAATAAATTTAGGTGAAGTGGATCTGCCACTTCAAGCAAATCTCAATAGGAATGAGTTGAGACTGACGATTGATAAAGTTGATCGCAATAAAAGCTATGATTAAACTGAAAATTGAGTATTTTTGTGGAACTTCTTGTTCATTTCTATTCGTTGGGTGATGCAGTTGGCAAACTCATCGATGAACCATGATCCCTTATATGATGCAGATGTTGCTGCTAAGATCATGCCTTCTTCATTCCATGACATAAGCGATCTAGAGTTCCAAGACAACTGGGGCCGAGTTTGGTAAGCTTTGAAAAAAATATATATAGTTTTTGTTTCTTTTTTTGGGGGTGTCTAACCTATATTTAGCAAGATTTGCATTAAAATTGGTCTTGTTTTGCATGACTATTTACCCAATTACGTTTTATTACAGGGTGGACCTCGGAACTTCTGATTATTTTGCTGTGGATGTACTACTCAATTGTCTGACTCTATTGAGCTCAGAGTAAGGCTCATTAATTATTTTTGAATTCCTTCCTGTAAAATAATTTCATGAACAAGTTCATTGATACTTAGTGTTGGTTTTATGGATTCTGATATTTATTAGAATGACGTAAAGGTTATAATTTACATGATTAATGCTAGATTTATTCTATGTATGCAAGAAGTAGAAATAAGGGAACTTGTTTTTATTTTGAACTATTAAACCTACAATGATAAGAAATGGATCGAGCCTCTCATAGCCCACATTGATGCTGTTATAAAAGGTACAAAGGGATGAAAATGTTAAATTATACAACACCCATGTGAAGGCTAAAGCTCTGAATATAAATATTGTAACGGTCTGCAGCAACCTATTTTAGGTTTTAGAAATATGATGTGCAACATACTTAAAATGTTTTGTAGTTTCAAAAAGAGAGGAAGATTTACATACATACCGCTCAATTCACATGTGTTTACATATTCAACTCCCAAAATTTCATGTATACCATGTTACCTATGTTTGACAAGGTGTATTTAATTTTTTAAAAGTTAAAATGGTCGTATTTTTGTTGTGATATGAAACATTTGGGTTGTATAAATATAAAAAAATAAAGTTTAGGTGTTAGATGTGTAAATATATAGAAATTAGGTGGTTTGTATATAAATGTCCCAAAGAGATAATATTGGAATTCTATTCTATGGTAGGTAATCAATCAATCTTGGCCTAAGGAAAGACTATAACTTGATTCTGAACATTTCCGATGCAATTAAATTCAAGTCGGCTATTTTTATCTTGCAACCGCTGGTTGGTTAGTTCTTGAGGCGAAAGGACCTTATTCAAGTTTATGATGTAAATTGCAGCAATTTTGCATTTATGATAGTCATGGATTATCCCTTTAAAAATAGAGGGCATTTTAAGAAGAATGCGTGAGATTTAGGAACGATGAATCAAAGAATGATTATGTTTGAGAGATGGTTGAAATAGAACTAATTAAAGATAGGATTCTTGAAAATAGCCTTAATTCCAATCACTTTCCCTTGGATTTTTATTTTATTGAAAATTTCTAGGGAATCAATCCAATACCACCTGCTACAATACTACAACTATGTTACCATTGCTATAGTATCACATCTTAAACGTATAAATAGTAGAACATACTCATTAAATGAATAGATAACATTAGTGTCAGATTAATCTTAGAGGAAAATGGATATACCTGAGGTAACTGTGATAGAAGATTTGTTCTTCCCATTAAGAAAATAAAAAATAATAGTTTCACATTCTTATGCATTCTTCCCCTCATTCCTTGTATGATTATAGCTTTCATTCTTTTGCTAGATACTTAGGTATTCAACAGGTGGTTTTTGGAGGCCGCCGCATGGGAGATTGGGAAGAAGGAATGACAAGTCAAGAAGATGGTTACAAATTCTTCAAGATATAAAACGAGATGCTGTTGTTGGCATAAATTTCTGAAAGAAGTCGGATTCAAAGCCAAAAGAATGTTTAGCTTTGTCCTCTCTTTTATAGAGGTCACCGAAATCTAAAACTTGCAGAGAGAACAATGAGGCTGGAGTCCATACAAGAAATTGCAGTGCATATGGACAAAATACTATTATATTACGCATGAACAGCATGATGTTGATCAAATTGTAATGTAATTTTTAGTTTTGTTTATGTTTTCCTTTTCTTGGTGTGAAATCTAGTTATTTTTCAAAGGTGAAATGTAATGCTTTAGGACATAGAAGTGAACTTGTTAATTGTTTATAAATCCATCTATAATTTGAGCTTGAATCAGCATCTACTTGAGTATGATCTTAGTAACTAATTATGAGTTTAATTCAACAATGCAAGCTGGCTTATAAATCTATTTGTTTATTTTGAAAAAAATAATGGATGATATCTTATTTGTTTTGGTCTGATTTAATTGGTTTGATAAAATTGTCAACCGATCTAACCGAACTGAGAGTTTGCGCAGCCATAGTTATATCTCCTTAAACTTGATTGATATGATGTATCTTTCATCATTACTGATTAAAATTGCAGATTATGTATTGCCATGCTGTGAATGGGAAATGCGAACATCCTGCTCATCTCTGATTTACCTGATGAAGAGAAGCTTATTTGTTTAACAGCTGACACGGAGAGCACCCTTGAGGAGCTTGATTCTAGCAGATTTTGTAATATTGGTGGGCTTTATTGATCGGAATAGATGGAGTGGTGTTATGATGAAGAAAGCCAACGACAGGAGATCCAATCAGCAAGGCTGCCAATTGGATTTATGTATGTATATATTTTAATTAGTTTTGATTTCTCATTCTTCTTTTATACTTTAGTTTGATTTTTTATAGTTTGCCATTAAATGTTTTAATAAAGATGAATTATTTTCTTTGGAAATCAATGATCAAGTAAATAGATTTGTGTCGGGAACTTGATATAATTTTATCTAGTTTGAAATGACAAAATAGAAGACCCTTAGAATTTTCTTTTTCTTTGGTTAAATTAAGGTAAAAGTTTATTCCAAAGATATGTTGAAATTATTAAAGATAAGTTTAATATGCAATTTTAATTAATGCTAAGAATTGTAGGTTAATCTTAATGGAAGGTTAAATGATGATCAAATTTTATAGGTTTGCATTTTTGTATCTTATATATAAACGATGAGAATATAGATTAATATAACTTCTAGAGTTAAAGATAAATAGCTAAAATGGAAAAAAGTGTACCAGGTATGCTAACTTTTAAAAGAGTGTCATATTGATGTACAGTTAAATTTAGAGAATAACTATATGATTGATAAACTATGATGATTCAGATGCTTGAAAATAAAAATATCATTAATAGTCAATTGAGTGCAAAAGAAATTAAAATGTTAAAATTTTGAAAACTGTGATAAATTTTAGAAGAAAAGGGGCTTAAGCACTTTGAATTTCATTATAAATTGAGTGCACAGTATGAAATTTCATTGGATTTGAATGTGATTTTCATGTTTATGTATCTTTGGTAGACCTAACATTACTTAAATTATACTTAATGCAATCATGCAAAATGCATTTAACTTTTTGTAACATATTCAAGATAGATGAATGGATTAGTATCATGTAGCCAATCTCTGTTAGATAAGACTAATAATGATGATGAGTGATGTGTGATCCTAGTTAAATAAATATCTACATAAAAATCTCTCCTATTCTTTCATCAGTGAAGTGCATCCATTTTTCATTCTTATGAGTGCAGCTTTTACTTTTCATTTTTGAGGTCTTTTGTATATTTGGCATTACCCATTTTATTTGTCCCAGTTGCAATAGATTATATCTCATAGTGTTTTTGATTTGCATCTAGCTTGCTTGTTGAGCGGAGAAAAGTTATGATTTCTTCTCTACCATCAGCTTTAATCCCATGCATGATTACTTGGTAGTGTAAGTCTGGGCTTTACTGCATTTTTGTATGTCCACCACTCCACCTGTCTTGAATGTTATAGAAGTGACTCATGCATGAAAAGTTTATTTGAGTATGCATACATAATGCCTTGGTACATACAGTTAAACAAACATCTTAGGATATCTTTACATGATAGAATAGTTAATATATATATATATTAAAAAGAGTTAATACAATTGGGACATAAGTATTTATGAGTGAGCAAAAAGAAATTTGCTAAGTGGCTGCAAAGCTTGAACACTATATAGTTTTGATGATGAAAAGATCATGATAGGCATTGAGAAAGGTGAAAAAAATAGCTAAGGTAAGACAAATTATATTTTAGAACTTTGTTCATTACCTTTATCTGTTAGGATCTTGTTTACCATGTCTTTGAAAATTTTATCTTGTGCTCTTAATATCTAGGATTTTTTAGAAAAAAGTTTTATGTGATATCTTATGGTATATGATTAGCTTTGAAGAAGATTGATGAAGTTAAAAATTTCTAAGTCTAAGTAACTTATCTATTCAAAAGAGTTTGGAGATGTTGAAATATTATATTTAAATGGCTTTTTATCTAATGAAATCCTACATGGTAATTGGCTTTTAAATAATAAAGAAAATTTATTTGGCGACGACTTTAAGAGTATATGAATACACTGTTTTTGATCATTATTGCAATGAATCTTATTTATCATATGATAAGTTATGAGAAAGATCTAGGGAACAAGGTTTGAAAAACTTATATTGGTCTAAAAATATGTTGAAATGATCTAAGGATGTAGGCCTTTCTTTATGTGGCAATCAATGGTGGTGTGTGACATCTCCATTCTTTTTATGCTGGTTTGAGCCTACAATAATTTTGAAAAATGAATGTAATCAAGTATTACAAGTTTATATTTTGTGGTCATTAAGAAATTAAAGAAATGCCAAATTTATTTATTATGTTAGTGAATATTTTTTATTTATATCAATGGTTAGCATTGACTCTGTATATTTGTGTATGATTGTTTAGATTCTTATAATTGATAATAAAGATAAGATGTTATGGTATAGGTAGTTCCAGTAGGTGTGACCTCTTCTAAAAATCATTGCAATATCGGAAATTTAATAATTATTGAACAACAATTGTGGATGAATTAATTGAAACCTAAATATAATATTATAAAGCCTTTTCATGCTATTACATTAAAATATTAGGGTACAAGTAAGAAAACGATTTATGTGAGAAATTAGGTGGGTAAAATGAATAAATTTCTTGAAATTACTATGCCATTAGAGAATAATATAGAGACTTGCATTGTTTATATATAGAACTATTGTTAAATTATATATTTCTTATGGTCAAAGGGGGCATGGCACGAAGTCACAAACATCCAAGTTTAGTGTGATAAAAGTGATAATAAGAAAATGAGATACAACTGGGCAGGATGGATGGTGATGATTATTTTTATATAGAGTGCGCTAGGGTAATTATTGAAGAATAAAATAATGAAAAAATGATTCAGTTATTTAGTTATGTACATTGGAGTGGGGGGACAAAATGATATGACATTTACATTAATGAAAAAGTTAGAACAAATTTAGCATTGCTATAAGCTTTAAATAATTGCTTTCCAAGGCTGGATCAAGCATCTTGTGCATCACTTAACATGAACAACTTGAGAAGGAAATATTCCTAAATGGTTGAAAAATACTAATATGATGATATAATGTTGTTAATGAGATTAGTGATAGTGTTAGAATATTGTTATTCTAAAGTGTTTTAACTGTTAAATTCTTCTTTCTTAGTTCTATTTTCAGTAATTCACACAAGAAGTTAGAGTATGGTCGTATGTAGCTCTTTCAATGGAACGACATTATGCCCAAGTTATTATCATTTATTTATTTTGGATAGATTTTTATTCTTTGAAAAATGATATTCAATTTAATTGGCATGGTATTAATGATTATTGAGCCAATATTGCTCCATGATCAAGCATAGGTGTGAAACATCCATGGAACTTATATACATTAAATAAAATAATGACATTGTAGTTGATATTTTTGGGTAACTAAATTAGAGAAATTTCTCAGCCATACTATGCAATGAGAGAATACCCGGAAGGTATGCATGTCTATTTTTTTGTAAAATCACAATTAGAAGGTTATGTCACACATACTTAAAAGTTGGGCAATAAATTCTTTGATGACCTGGTTTAACAGAACAAAAATATTATGTTTGTTCTCACCCTTTTCTACGCTAGCCAAAACGGCCTTCTTAGTGTTGCCATTTTCAGATTAATCTTTCTAGGCCACTCTCTCTTAGAAAAGTAAAAGAAAAAAGAAAAGGCTTAAGTTTGACAAAAATTAAGAATAAATAAGAGCAGCTACGACGATATCTATATAAAAAATTTCTTACAACATAAATTGAAGAAGTGTAGTCTAAAAGAAAGTAGATCATACTTGCCCATGAGAATTTACGAGAAATATTCTATAAAAATATCTTCATAGCCAAAACAGCCAAAACAAAGTACAAAATCATTTTTTTTTTTTTTTGTTTCAAAGAGACCTCCCAAGACAACGTATCATTGTGGTCAATTACATCATGGGGAATACTAAAAAAAACTCAAGATACAAGGTGTTGTATTAGCTTAATAAGACCCTAAATATAAGTAGTCAAGAATATTTTTGGTGGTCTTTATAGGGTGAACCTCCAACCGTAAGGGTGAAACTAGGTTTCCAAGTAAAGGATGAATCAACATAACCTGACAGGCAGTCGCCACATGGAGGAGAGGTCCATGAAATGAGCCCTTTAAGACTCGACAAAGGAAATGAATGCGTCCAAAATGGAGTATATAAATATTTAGGTTAGCAAAAAATTAAACGGGTAGAGATAGCTTATTTAGAGCTCCATGGAACAGTCATCCCAATTTATTAGGACCCGAGATCTACTAAGTCGTGGAGGTAGTCGACCCAATCTGACTAAGGATCACTTCATCAGCAACTCACATGTTGCATCATCCGAAGCAATCCAATAAACCTAAAGTTATGAGAACAAAACATCTAAGCTTCTATGACTAATTGAACTAAAAACGTAGAGTAGGGATTAAATTTTCCATGGGTATGGAAATAAAACTTACATGGAAATAAGGAGAGATGAACAATCCAGTTACAAAGCTAAGCCACCCCACAAAATGCTTACAAATATGTCTGGATCAGAAAATCCTCTAACACCCTATGTCATAATAGATAGCCACCTAAGCGTATATAATTTATGTTGGGCTAGTCAGATTGATAAAGTGAGTATAATGCAATATGTATGTAATTATCTAACACATCATAAGAATGGAGTCTTTAGTAATATACAAGGGGATATATTCATT